GTGTGTGTGTGTGTTTTGAGAATATTATTAAAGACGTAACTTTGAATGAACATTCTGTTAACAATAATAGGCCAATGCCCTGCAGAGTTTAGCTCCAACCCTGATCAAATACACCTGAGCAAGCTAATCAAGGTCTCCAGGATCGTTAGGAAATCACAGGTAGGTGAGTTTGATCAGAGTTGAAGCTAAACTCTGCAGGGCACTGGCCCTCCAGGGCAAGATTTGAGGAACCCTGTCTTAAAGGGATAGTTCACCCAAAAATGAAAACTACACCACTCACCCTCAAACCATCCTAGGTGCATATGACTTTCTTCTTTCAGACGAATACAGTTACATTACATTAAAAATAGTTACGTTAAAAAATATTCTGTCTCTTCCAAGCTTTATTATGCCAGTGAATGGTGTTCAAGATTCTGAAGCAAAATAAAAGGCATCCATCCATCATAAAAAGTGCCCCACACGGCTCCAAGGAGTTTTTATAAAGAAAAATGCCAGAGGATTTCGATATAAGCCAAGAGGAGACTGGTTTTCCTTTGCTGTAAACAAAGGATTTTCACCAGAGCTGACGCTACGCCTATGTCCCACTCTCTCATCATCGCACGTATGACTGTTGGAGGAAGCTAGAGATCACGGTTTATAAGTTTTAAATATGGTTAAATACTTTGATTCACTTCAGAAGGCTTTTATTAACCCCCCGGAGCTGTGTGGAGCACTTTTTATGATGTTAGTCTCATACACCTAGGATGGCTTGAGGGTGAGTACGTCATTTTTGGGTGAACTATCCCTTTAAGGTCTATAACACAAGATGTACTAGCAATACAAAGTTTCAAACATTGTCCAGAATATTTCAAGCTAGAAGAGGGAGGAATATATCCAAAACAGTATCATGAAAGAGTATGAAAACATGGGGACACTTGTTGATGGGGGTTCTGTGCCCCAGTACTTATGAAAGGCTAGAAACGCCCCTGATGTCCCATAACACATTTCACATTCTAACTCAGACTGTTTACTGGGCTGTTTCCCAGGAGTGTGGGGACATTCTTGTGTTTTTCAGCACAGGCAGTGCTGAACCAGCTATCCTGTGTCATGTGACCCCGCTGGCCTGAACACGCTGGGATAACAAGAGGCCGCTGACACCACCGCGGGATTGAGACCCAACACTATATATAGCACAAATGAGGGCTGAAGGTACATCTCCAAATACACCAGCTCTCTGGCCTGAAGATTAAGCGGGTTGGGGGAGATAGAAAAATAAATTAGGGGCAATAGCTTCAATATCAGTATAACGCTATCCTTTCTCACTTCTGTTAGTGATTTTATTTCTTACATAAGTTTAAGACTGATAAGTGAAATTCATTTTACTTCCATATCCATAATAATGTATGGAAGTTGCTTGAGACGCGAGACATGCTTTTGCTGCCAATTTGTTGCATTATTATTATTATTACTATTATTATTGTTGATTTTAGTTGTTGATGTTGTTGTTGTTGTTCCACACATAGTTGTGGGAAAATCGTGCGGTGGCATTAGTGGTGCAAAAATTATACATTTCAGTTTTGTATGAATGGTGCTTTTTTAAAATGAAGTTTATAATGTAATCAGGACAAGTTCATCAAAACATTATTTCCAAATGAGTGTCTTTTTCATTTGTAAAACATCTGACAACACATAAGCATCTCCACAGACTAGCCTACATGAAAACTGAGAAAATTTTAAACTCAAATATATAGAATCAGTATTTCATTTTATTTTTATTAAAGAGCCTTTTCTTGTTTTCATGATCTACTGGCAGAGGAAAACACTAAGCACCAACATTGGTAATATTTACATTTTCCATAATTTTATTTTTTTTTTTACAGATTTTATAAGAGCTGTTAAGACTTGAAGACTGTAAACAGTGTGATGTGTTGAAATGATATTTAGTAGTTAAGGTCACTATTAATCATTTTTGTAGTGACATTCAACCCTGAAACCATTGTACATTTCAACACCGGATTGCCACAAAAAGAATTAGAAAAAGAACAGACATGCGTGGTTTACAAAATTATTTACATATTCAGTATGTGCATGGATGCATAATATTCAGTGGTTTAAAAGTGCATATATCGAATGTGATTGTAAAAAATTCTTGACAAAAATGGCATAACTTTTCATCTACCTCTCTCTTCTATAAGCATGTTCATTTAGAGCTGGACTGCAGATGGAGGAGAGCTGATGTCCTGTGCTGGATCTGTCCTGCTTTTGGTTTCATGACTAAAATCTCCGTTCAGTTCAACAGACAGAGCGACCCAGTGTACGTCCTTCACCCAGAGCACAGCACGACAAAATACTGTCATCTTACACATGTTTCTAAACAAACAGAAACACAAAGGGTCAAATCAGAGAAAGAGTAACATTACAGGCTCATTCGTTTTATTTTTTAGATTTTATTAACCCATTTACATGTCCTCATTCATCAGCATTCCACTGAATGGATTATGTATAATAAACAAATAATTATACATATTTTACCTCTTTCGTTGTAAAATGAAGTTGTCATTATTTCACAATGTAGATTATGACTTTTTTGAGAACATAAAGAATTTAAAATGACAGGTTGAAATAATATTTGAGAAAGTGACATCAAGAAAATCTGTGGTTTGTTAACTGTCTTTAACCTTCATTTAATTGGCAAAGGAACAATTAAAAGAACTGGCCAACTTAAATGTGTTTTGTATATATAAACAATTTTTAATTTTGATGGTTGCAACACACTCCAAAAAAGTTGGGACAGAGGCATAATAAAAGTGAAAAGGTTATAGAATATCCAAGTTAAACTGTTTTGAAACAGTCCAAAATAAGCAGGTGAACTGGTAATAGGTGAGGGTGTCATGATTGGGTTTACGGAGCATCCTGTCTTTGCCAGCAAAGCTGATCGTGGCTCATCACTTTGTGCCAAATTTCATGAGAGAAGTGTCAAACAAATCAAAAAGAATGTAGGTCTTTTACCATTTTGTGAAAAGATTTAAGGAATCCAGAGAAATCTCAGTCTGTTTGGGGCAAGGCAGGACACCTCAGCTGAATATATGTGACCTTTGAGCTCTCAGATGGCATTGCATTAGAAACCGTCAAGCTGTGGTGTTAAATATAGCCACATGGGCTCAGGAGTACTTCGGAAAACCGCTGTCACTTAACAGTTTGCAGCTGCATCAAGAAATGCAACTTGAATCTCTGTTACACAAGGAGAAAGCTATACATCAATTCTAGGTAGAGACGCCAGCGAGTTCTCTGGGCCCGAGCTCATCTTAGATAGTCAAAAAGACAGTGGAAATGTGTACTGTGCTCAGATGAGTCCACATTTCAACTTGTTTTTGGGGAAAACGGACATCAAATTGTCAGTCCCAAAGACGAAAGGGAACGTCCACGCTTCAATCAGCGACAGATGCAAAAGCAAATGTCTGTCATGGAATATGGGTGCATCAGTGCAAACGGCATAGGTGACTGGCATATGTGTGAAGGTACCACTGATATGGAGGCATATATTGGGATTGTACAGAGACATATACTGCCATCAAAATGACAACTTTCATGGGAAGTGCATGGTTATTAGATGAAGACAATACAACTGCGTGGTTTCGTAGACACGTGTGGATGTGACTGACTGGCCAGCAGATCTGTCTCCTATTGAAAATGTATGACCAGTCATGAAAAGGAGAATCAGACAACAATGACTATGGACTGCTGAGCATCTGAAGTCTTGTATCAAGTGAGACTGGGCAAAAATGTTGCTTGCAAAACAAAAAATTAGCATCCTTAATTCCCATATGATTAAAACGTGTAATTAAAAGGAAAAGTGGTAAACATGCTTCTGTCCCAACTTTTTTTGGAGTGTGTTGTAGCCATCAAAATCAACATTTGTTTATATTTACAAAATAAAATTAAGTTGGCCAGTGAAAGCATTGGAATTTTTTTATTTGTACTTTAGTCAATTAAATAAAGGTTAAAGAGAATGAACAAATAACATATTCTTGATTTTTATGGCATTTCACAGAACGTCCCAACGTTTCTGGAATTGGGGTTGTATATCATTTAAAATAAAATAAAATATTTAGCCACAAATTGCATTTTTAAGAGATGAGATATGATTATATAAGACATGAGAGAATGAGTGACAGTATGTTACCGTGCTGAAATGCACAGCGCAGAAGATGGTGATGATGAGGATGCCGATGATGATGGAGGCAATGGACACATAGAGCGCCATCTTCCCTAAATGCCTCGAACCCTCATAATCTCCCTGATCATAACTGTTTCTGGACTGTAAAAGACAGAAGATACATTCAAATTAACATATATACAGACACAAGACCACAACCTCTGTGTGTGTGTGTGTGTGTGTGTGTGTGTGTGTGTGTGTGTGTTCATCCAGTCAAACTAATATCAGCAATCAAACCAAAAATTTTTTTTGTCTGACATACAGCAGGAGTTCTAGTTGATGATATTCTGGTCTCTAGCTATAGGTGGCTATGTATTTATTTATTCATTCATTCATTCATTGGCCTGTTTTATCATCTGCTAGGTTCCAGTTGTCTGATTGCTACGTTGAACAAGTAACAAACATGCACGAGTCTTCAACAAACAACAGCAGGAATTATGCCCATAGCATAAAGAGATAATGAGTTAAGCATTTCAGTTTAATATGCTGAGAAATTTTTTGAAATCATAGCCTTGAAGGTGCAGAATGTAATATTGACACTATTGTACACTAGTGGTTGAAATGGGTACTGCAGTCCAAATTCAAAATTGCAGAAAGAGTTGTTTCTACCTCTCTCTCCTCCTCAGACTGGACGCTCACGCGGGTTGCCAGATTGAGGCCACGCAACAGGAACGAGTTTTTTCCGGTAACTGGCAACCCGGGGTGTCTAAATGCTATTGGATAAAGCAGCAGTCGACGAAATCATTCAGACCAAAACAAAAACTGACGATCCGACACTGAACACACATTTCAAAGCAGAATAACTGTCTGTAGCATTGTTTTTTCAGAGAAACAAGTATGTGAACTTAGCATGTTTTCTAAATATGTGCAAACATATTAAGGTATTTTTATGCTTTCGTCCCCCCCCCAAAAAAAACATTCAGCACCTTTAAAGTATAATCAGTAATGATAGTGATACCTTACGTCTTGTCACTAAGTGAACTATCAATATAAGCCCTTGCTTTCATGTAGACATATAATATAATATAAAGGCAGATAAAATTACAAGGGTTTCCAGTTTTAGTAAACGCAGTCCAGCCGGATATGATCGTTAACTCACCATTACAGAGAACACCAGGGCTAAAATGTTGACAGGGTAGGCCGGACAGAAGCAGGTTAGGATGGTCAGAAGCAGGTAATTTCGCAGAGGAGGTTGTGGGGTATTCTTTCACTCCAGCTGAGATACGCCGAGAATTATCTCCCCCCCCCACCCCCACACTAGCTAGCGCTCTCCTTTACTCTCTCACTACGCATTCTTGTTTGTGACAAATTAAGGCCAAGTCAAACAATCTCTCCTACAGTGCAATGGAGGGGGTCTTCTTCACATCACATTCTGCTTCTCATTCCTCCTCTCCCCACATACACCGCTTATTCATGACCCAATCCAAGCTTTTCGGGGAGGGCTGATGGGGAAATATGGGCCCATATGCAGATTGGTAGACTGCACTTCATTAGGTTCCTCTTAGCTTTTTTCTATCCCCTCTTTTGACAGGGAAAAAGAAGGTGGGAGAGTGAGATGGGGTAGGGGTTTTGGCTGGGGGGGGTGCATTGAGGAGAGAAAAATCCCTTCCCACTTCTTATCCTAATGATCTCATTTCAGCACACGGGAGAGCCTGGCTCTAATTGATGTCAAGTGCGTGCTTTCACTGTTAATCAAGGAGATGGCATCAAACGGGCTTTGCGTGGGTCTGAGTACTGATCTGAAGCCCTTCGTCCACAATACGCCACTGCTGGACTCCAATTATACCAGTCCAGACGGCCAGCCAGACCCTACCTGTTTAATTGGGATAGCACGGCCACTTCCAATGCTGTCTGCGCGGCCATCCATCCCTTTCTTCTCCCTGTCTGGTTCGTTTCCCTTCCGAGACTGTGGGGGAGAAGACATCATTTTAGTCAAAGGCGAGCTAGCTGCTAATTGAGCCTGACTTCAGACTAGATCCAGTTTGGAGTGCAGGGCACACACATGACTTCAAAAGTCAAGGGGGTATGAGAGGGGTGATCTTGACCTTGACGTGACCCCACCCCCACAACTTCTTAAAAGCAAGACATGTGGTACATCTGCACTACTAACAAGTCAACAAGTCAAAGGTTTGGACAGTCTTTATCTATCTATCTATCTATCTATCTATCTATCTATCTGTCTGTCTGTCTGTCTGTCTGTCTGTCTGTCTGTCTGTCTGTCTGTCTGTCTGTCTGTCTGTCTGTCTGTCTGTCTGTCTGTCTGTCTGTCTATCTATCTATCTATCTATCTATCTATCTATCTATCTATCTATTTGTCTGTCTGTCTGTCTGTCTGTAGTTAGGATAGTTCATAGCCAACAGTGTTTATTTTATTAATAATTTTATTTTGTTGATAATTATTTACTACTAGTATTCTATAATTATATCATTATTCTAGTATTGCGGAGGTACTATTAAATTTTTTTAATTGCAATTTTAGTTATTTTTATTTCATTTTAATTTTGTGTTTTTGACATTTTTATGATTTTTTGTTTTTAAATGCCTGCATAGTTTTTTTCCTTAGTTTTAGTTTTACTTATTTTAGCTAAATTCTAGCTTAATCTTTTTTCATATTTTATTTTACTTAAAATTTATTTTAAGATTTTTTTAATGGTTTTAGTTGTATCATTAGTTAACTATAATAACCCTGATGGTCTGTTAATATTGAAACCTTAATATATTTTTAAATATGTATAAAATATTTAATATAAAATAAAAGCAGAATGTTTTATTTTATTAATAATTCCTTCATTTTGATTACTTTATTCTGAAACAATTATATATATATATATATATATATACATGTATATATATATATGTGTGTGTGCGTGTGTGTGTGTGTGTGTGTATATGTGTTTTATTTCAAAATATTTTTTTGTTATATAATCTTTGAAAAGTACTGTGATATTTGTCCAATTTTTTCTAGAATTTTACATTCTATTTTTATGAAATTTGTAAATGTTCAGGGTTTACAATATTACTCAAAATTCACATTCACTTTTCCCCTGTACAATGGGATATTTTAGATTTTGCATTTACTACTCAAATGTATATTATAAAGTGTGTCATTTATAAGAGTGCAATCCATTCTGCATATGACCAAAACATGACAATCTCTGCTAACATCCCCTGCAAATGCAATGAACCACAAAGAAAAACATGAATACGGAGGCCATCAAATGGAATGTTTTAAAATAATTTATTAGGATCTTTTTACTTGAAAATTTCCAGAGGTGAAAAAAAAAATTAAAAATACAGTAAAGGGCCAGCGAACCAGCGTATTTGAGCATCAGGTCACAGTGTTGACGTGCAGCTCCACAGCAATGGGACAGAGTGCCGCCCACTGATGCTTTCCAGTTCCGCCGCTGATCCCCTTCAACAAATCCTCCAAACAAACAGCTAACATGTACTGTAAAAATCTGAGAAACTTTCAAGGGGTTAAAACGGATCTTGAAAAATATAGATTTTTTTCAGAAAAATAATTATTAATGCCACATAACCGCCATCGTATTCGTACCACCGTTAACGGCGTTCATTATTACTTGAGTTTAAAATTAACTTATTGCTTTTTGTTGGTTAAATAGGTACAGTGTGTGCCATGCAGTAGTTTTGTGAGGCGTCCCCGTCAGCTGGAGTTTCGGTCGTCACGTGACCACTGCTCCAAAAAGAGGCAACACGTGTCAAATGGAAGACTGAAAATGAATGCAATTAAGTAGAAATCAAACAGATCCAATGTTGCTGAAATGAAAAAAAAAATCACTCTGAATGTCTATTATTAGTCAAGCGTAACAATTACATAAAAATTAACAATTTTCCCAGAAGGCCTCCATTAGAGCTGTGATTTCAGAGACGTTCCTCTCCATTGCTGGCAGAGACAAGACAGTTTCAAAGGTGGCAGTTGAATGCATGTAAACTAGCTACGTGTACATCCATACTTCAGTTACACTCACACACGCACATCCCAACACACAACGACAGGTGTAACAGCGCTCAGACTCCTTTGCTTTGTAAATTTGTCCTTCATTTCTTCAAAAAAAAAAAAACAGCGTTGTACCGTCAAAAACGAACAGAAAAAGGAGAAAGGGAACGATTTACAATAGAAGTACACTGCGCAAAACATTATATATATAATATATATTTCCAAAAACAGCATGAAGAGAAGCCCAGCAGCCGTGCTCTTCGAAAATGAGGCGGATCAAGACCGCGTTTCCGTTTCCCAAACACGCAACCAAATCATTTGCTCTAATGGAAAACATTCACGAGCGTGAGGATTCATACGAAACCGAAACGACAGAAAGGTCCGTTTGATTCGGAGAATTTAGGCCGAAAGAGTATAAATGGAGTCGAAAGCGAGAGAAGCACAACCAAAGACCCACATCGGTCCAACTTGGTGATGAAACTAGTCTCAGAAATGCAAGACTGAATGTGAAGAAAGATGTTTGCATGTTAAGAACCATAAAGAACCCTCAGCCCTCCCGCAAACCCCAGTCCATCATTCAATCCGAACCCTCGAACCCTCCCAAAATCCATGCATATATACAGTATCTACAAAAAGAAGCCGAAGAATGAGCCTCAACATGAGCAGAATGGATTTCTGTGTAAAAATGTGTCAAATATTCTTACATCTGAAACTGTAGAATGCAGATTCACGCAGAAAAGTCATGAATGAGGCCCATTGTTTCTTATGTAAAACCAATTTTACGAAAAAAAATTGACGATTCAGCGTAAGAATGTTCGTTATAACATTACAAATGCTGTGTAAAAACTACCAAAATATACATTTTTGTCCTGTCGTTTTGCTTTGTTTTTTCACAAATTTGATTCATTCTCACGTATTTGTTCGGTGTTGTTTAGATTCGTTTTAAAAACCAAACAGATCCTGGACTTTTTTTCCAGTTTCGTGCCTCTTCTTTCTCTTTCTCTCTCGCTGTCTTCTCGACATCATCCGTTACAGCATGAGTACAGTAAAAACATAAAAACACAGTCAGCAAAAATACATAACAAATGCAGAAAAATTGTCAAAATAAAAATCCGGGGAAATGAAATTCCTTGCGTTTCCGCACGTACAATCAAACAATATTGTTTTGACAAAGTTTCTTTCTTCATTTTTTTTCTTTCAAAAGAAAGACCGCAGCATATCATAAATGAGTCGGATACGTCAGGAAGGAAATACGGGATGAGGAAAACGAAAAGTGATGTTAGTAGAGAATAGAGAAAAAGAAAAGTTGGAAACTCCAGAGCGGAGTCAGGAGGGACCGCAGCCGCCCGTGGGGTTCGTCCCAAAAGCACGTCACATCGCCAGAAGTGCTCACGGTTCACAAGCGCGTGAGTTTCTCCTCCCATGCTGGGCTCTGATTGGACACCCCTCAGTGGTAGCCATTGGTAAAGGCCGTTGCAATCAAAGGACCCTTGGAAGAGTGAAAGAGGAAATTTAATGGAATGTTCCAAGTTAAGTGACATAATAATGGAAATAATGTATTTAGTTTGTAAAAACAAGCAAAAATCGTGTTTACAGTAATGCACTTGCAATGGAAGACTTTGTGGCAAGGCATTCTGGAGAGATTTAAAGCAAAAATGCGAAGCTCGTATTTTTATTAAATTGCTCATTGTCATTTTTCTGTACAAAATGTGTATTAGAGATGCAAAGTTGTTTCAGTGGTTCTCATTTCTGGTGCAATGTGTTAATAGCAGTGTTGTTATCGATAACTAAAACTAAAACTATTACAATTGTTTTTGGGAATTGAAATAAAGTTGAAATCTGAATGAAAGAGAATGAGAATGACTCAAATTTCTGAAATAAAATAAAAGTATTAGATGAAAAACTTAAACCTAAAAAACTTTAAAAATGTAAAATGTTAGTTGCCTTGGCAACTAAGAGAAGTAGGTTTAAGTTGAAGTACTAAAATTACTAAAACGAAAATGTAAAAATACAAATATATATTAATGTAAAATTCAAAATATTAATAAATACTACAAATAGCATATAAATAAGTGTAAAAAAAAATTATGACAGGCTTGTTCTTAGCAGTGTTGTTATTGTTAACTAAAACTGTTAAAAATCATCTCCATTAACTTAAATAAAATAAAAGTATTACATGAAAAACTTAAAAAAAAACTTGAATGAAATGAAAATTAGAAATGAACTACTAAAGCAAATACGTATAACTAAAATGACTAAAACTCAAATAAAAATAAATTGAAGCTAAACAGAAATATTCCTTAGAGATATAAATAATACAATTGTAAAAGCACATAACAAAACTTATCAAAATTAAAACTAAAATTTAAATATAAAAATGGCGGTGTTGTTATCAACTAAAACTATTAAAAAGTATTTTCATTAATTCATTAATTGAAATATGCTAAAATACAATAATATAATATTACATGAAAAACTTAAACTTAAAAAACTTTACTAAAATTACTAAAACTAAAATGAATTAAAACCAAAAAGAAATATTTGTATAAAAAAACTAATAAAAATCCCAAATGCACATGGCAAAATTACTAAAACATAAAACTAAAATGAAAATATAAATTGAAACAAGTTAATTCAAAATATTAATAAATGCTACAATATAATGTAAAGAATACTTCAGCAGGGAAAAATGATTAATGCAAGTAATAAAATGCAAATAACTATATAATAGTAGCAAAATAAATAGTAATGCTCTTTCAGTGGAATTCAGTAGGGCACATAAATCAATAACATACACACATTTATCAGTAATGTACTTTATTTTAATAAACCTCAGACTTGGCACAAGTCGCATGGACTTTTATGTTTATTACTTTTGTCCTTTTTGACATTAATGTTATATTTCGAAATGTGTATATGTGTGTCTGTATATCTGATTGTACTTACCCCGAGTCCGTGTCCAAACCCTGTGCTGGGGGCGGGACTTGCCGCACTGATATAGCTGCTGATTCCTGAATCCTGATTGGCTGCTGCATACAGGTCTGCCATTGGCCCAGGGCTGCTGGTGCCCAGGAAGCCGGCGGTACGTGAGTGTGTGGAACCTACGGTGAGGGACAGATGTCTTAAACATTCAGAAGGTGCTTTACAAGTGGAAGGAGTTTAATACATTTTAAAATCTGACAAATAAAAGTACATTTTCAAACAAGCAAAGTAAATGTGATTTTGCGTACCTCTGACCACCGCTGCAGCTGCGGCCGCTGCCATTGGTCCGTAGGCTGTCAGTGGAATGGCTGCGGGACAGAGAAAGACAGAATGCCACACAAATACACATCAGTTCGAGATTCTCAAGTCTTGCTCTACTTTAAAGATGCTGTATGTAAGTTTTTGACTCTACTAAAGCATAAAAATACCATAATATGTTTGCAGATATTTAAGAAACATACTATCTTAGCATACTTGTTTATCTGAAAAACAATGCTACAGTCAGTTATTCTGCTTTGAAAATGTGCGTTCCGGGCCGGAATGTAGGTCTCTGTTTTGGTTTGTGAAACCCGCCCACTGCCAGTTTACCCAATTGTATGTTGGCACCCCGGGTTGCCAGTTGGCGGAAAACACAGCGTCTTTCATTTCTTTCATCGTCATGTGCGCTCGTTCCTGTTGGTGCCTTCAATCTGGCAACCTGCGTGTGCGTCAAGTCTGAGGAGGAGGGGCCGGGTGAAAAAACCCTCTCCAATATTTTGAATTTGGACTGCAATACCTAGTTCAACCACTCGGTGCTGTATGTCAATCCTACATACAGCACCTTTAAAGGTAGGGTATGTGATTTTTCGAAAACTGAATAGCAAAACAAACTTGTAGCCAATCAGCAACAAGGGGCGTGTCTACCTGTGATGTGGAGGAGAGAGCTTTCAGTGCATGGGACGGACATTAGCCGAGCCAAGCGACAGAAAGATAGAGAAAACGTCTGCGGAATGATAAGGCAAAAAGTAGGACCCATGTAAATATTGGATCAGCTGCCTACACTGGACGCGCTCAAACGACCGTTGAAAACCATTTGAAATTTGTGTCAGCATGTCATAAATAGAACCCGGCAGCAGTTTTCTGTCGGGGATTTGTTGCGCCGCGCCGCTCACGTCTGATGTAGACACGGTGTAACATTGGTTTTGCTTTGTTTCACAGAACTAATTGTTGCCTGGGTTGCGTACGTATATGTGGGGCGGAGCTATCAAAATAGGGGCAAGACCCTTTTGGGGTAGGGGCGTGCTTGTTTTGGTGATTTCAAATATCAACATTGGCTACCAGAAATCGCTTACTCTGCCTTTAATATCCTGTTTCACAATGCAACATGTTATGGTGAAAAAGTATTTAAATAATAAAAAGTATTTAATAAACTTAAATCTTACGTTGCATGTTCAGTGCACGTTATACTAATGCTTAATTTTAAAAATAAAAATACAACTGTAAAAATATAATTAGGTGCAATGATCCTATAAACAAGGTTTATTATATGCAAAATATAATTTTCAATTTAGTTTCATAAATTCAAAATAAATAAACAAATGCATAAAAATAGACTTGTCTATAAAGGTTTTATTTTTAAAAAAAGTTGTGAATATCCAGTTTCTTTAGTATATGAAGAAAACATTGAAAGCAATGCAGAATTTATATAAATAAAATTTTCATGAAAAATAGAAACAGAAAATAGAATAAAATAGAAATAGTACTGTTTATAAAATTTGGATCTGTAAGAATTTTTGTTTGTTTGTTTGTTTGTTGAAAGCAGTCTCTTCTGCTCACCGAGACTGCATTTATAATAAAAATACAGCAATATTGTGAAATATTATTACAATTTAAAATCATACTTGAATACATATTCAATTGTAATTTATCCCAGTGATGCAAAGCTGAACTTTCAGCATCATTCCTCCAGTCTTCAGTGTCACATGATCCTTCAGATATCATTCTAATATGCTGATTTGCTGCTCAAGAAACATTTCTGATTATTATCAATGTATGAAGACAATGTGCTACTTCATACTTTTGTGGAAACATTTTTTTCAGGATTTTTGATGAATAGAAAGTTAAAAAGAAACAACATCTACTTCAAATAGAAATCTTTTGTAACATTATAAATGTCACTTTTGATCAATTTAATGCATCCTCACTGAATAAAAAGTATTATTTTCTATTAGTTTACTAACTCCAGACTTTTGAACAGTAGTATGCAAGTATGCACCATCTGTACGCTGACTATAACATTAATACAGAATTCTGGCATGAAACTCTAGATGGTGCAATCCGATAGGTCTAGCTCAATCTGACCTGGTGACATCATTGTCAAATGGCAGCTGATTGGTTCTCTCCTGTATCGTCCACCTGCATAGATCTGCTACGGGGTGATTCATGTAAGCTATATGGGGGATATTCATATGTGTTATATGTGCAGCAGCAGTATTTCTTACATGCTTACAGCAGCATGTTGTGGATGTATTGGCAGTAGCAAGTCTCGGTACTTGCTCTGCCGCAGCAGCAGCGTAGCAGATCTATTCCACCAAGACCAAATACATTAACATTGTCATGTACATTACCATGCCAATCCCTCCGAGAGTTGTCATGACAGAACTCTGTTTAAGCAGTCCTGCATGTTAACTTGAGGCTCAACCAGTGACTAGTTTAAGGAAACTTGTTTGAAACCACACATCATTGCATTGCAGAAATGGCACACTGCAGCTCTGTCTTGGATCTTTAATTGAAATGAAGGAGAACACGAGACACTTGTGGGAAAATAAGCAGCATGTGGGTTTTTTGTGTGCATGTTTGTAAAGCCAGACGACCGACTAACCTGTGATCTCTGGGGGGTGAGAGGAAGTCAGAAGGGGTGTCCGTTCTAAATGGAATTCTAGAACAGAAACGGCAAAAGAGCGGTTTGTGAATGAACTCAGCGTAAACAAGCTCCGAGCTAAAACACCAACACACACACACACACACACACAGAGTGAGTGTTTTTCCACATGTAGTCCTAACTACGCAAACACACTGACGTACACCATGAAAGGAAGCTTTCAAGCAGCAGAGGAGAGACACGTCTATGCGCACAGAAACACACACAGCGAAGCCACTTACAGCCAGGTGTAGCTGCTACACAGGAGGAAAGGAAGGGAACAGATTGAGGTGCAGAAGGACACGAGGAACAAAAAAGACAAGGAAGAGAGAGAAACGGGAGGACGTGGTTAGATCGCTGATCTTAAGGTGTGGAGTTAGTTAGACATGGAGCTGTAACACAAAACGGTTGGTGTTAGTGCTGGTTTTTTCAGGATTTTTGATGAATAGAAAGTTAAAAAGAAACAACATCTACTTCAAATAGAAATCTTTTGTAACATTATAAATGTCACTTTTGATCAATTTAATGCATCCTCACTGAATAAAAAGTATTATTTTCTATTAGTTTACTAACTCCAGACTTTTGAACAGTAGTATGCAAGTATGCACCATCTGTACGCTGACTATAACATTAATACAGAATTCTGGCATGAAACTCTAGATGGTGCAATCCGATAGGTCTAGCTCAATCTGACCTGGTGACATCATTGTCAAATGGCAGCTGATTGGTTCTCTCCTGTATCGTCCACCTGCATAGATCTGCTACGGGGTGATTCATGTAAGCTATATGGGGGATATTCATATGTGTTATATGTGCAGCAGCAGTATTTCTTACATGCTTACAGCAGCATGTTGTGGATCTATTGGCAGTAGCAAGTCTCGGTACTTGCTCTGCCGCAGCAGCAGCGTAGCAGATCTATTCCACCAAGACCAAATACATTAACATTGTCATGTACATTACCATGCCAATCCCTCCGAGAGTTGTCATGACAGAACTCTGTTTAAGCAGTCCTGCATGTTAACTTGAGGCTCAACCAGTGACTAGTTTAAGGAAACTTGTTTGAAACCACACATCATTGCATTGCAGAAATGGCACACTGCAGCTCTGTCTTGGATCTTTAATTGAAATGAAGGAGAACACGAGACACTTGCGGGAAAATAAGCAGCATGTGGGTTTTTTGTGTGCATGTTTGTAAAGCCAGACGACCGACTAACCTGTGATCTCTGGGGGGTGAGAGGAAGTCAGAAGGGGTGTCCGTTCTAAATGGAATTCTAGAACAGAAACGGCAAAAGAGCGGTTTGTGAATGAACTCAGCGTAAACAAGCTCCGAGCTAAAACACCAACACACACACACACACACACACAGAGTGAGTGTTTTTCCACATGTAGTCCTAACTACGCAAACACACTGACGTACACCATGAAAGGAAGCTTTCAAGCAGCAGAGGAGAGACACGTCTATGCGCACAGAAACACACACAGCGAAGCCACTTACAGCCAGGTGTAGCTGCTACACAGGAGGAAAGGAAGGGAACAGATTGAGGTGCAGAAGGACACGAGGAACAAAAAAGACAAGGAAGAGAGAGAAACGGGAGGACGTGGTTAGATCGCTGATCTTAAGGTGTGGAGTTAGTTAGACATGGAGCTGTAACACAAAACGGTTGGTGTTAGTGCTGGGCGGTATGATGGTTTCATGCAACGCTACAGATTTTGCTATGCCATGGTAGAGCCAAATGCATGAATATTAGTGACAATAAGTCAAGCTGAACTTGTTATAAAGTTCAGTTGTTTACGGGTGCAAAGTCGCAGCTCATTCAATCACACCTTAGATTTTGTACCACAGGTTTTATAATATAAATTTGACTGTTTTGAGGCGTTTGTTTAACAATGTGTTTTTATTTAGCTAGGGTGACCATATGTGCCCTTTTTCCGGGACACATCCTGGCCAGGATTTCTATATTGCCTAAAATATCCATGTTATACGTTAAATAAAAATTTTTATTAGATAGATAGATAGATAGATAGATAGATAGATAGATAGATAGATAGATAGATAGATAGAATCAATTATGTTTATATATAATAATGCATACTTTTGGACAATTCAGTAATTTAAATACTGTATATATTATGTATATATTATGGGTGTAACAGTACCTCTGTTTTGGGGTCACAGTTCGATATGAGTTTGGTACAACAGGAAATGTATTTTTTCATTTATTTTGAACAGACAGTAGTGCTACATGTAGCATTAGCAGTTGTTTTTTTATTTGACTTAGACTGTATAATTTCAAGATTTAAAGCAAAAACAGAATGGTCTGATTTGTGAAATTGTGCTACATAAGACACCTGCACAAAACAAAAACAGCAGATGAAAAGAATGAAATTGCAAATCACTCTCTGACAGCAGGTGGCGCTTATGGAACAGCAGGATACAGCGTTTCCTTGGTTACCGCTGTAAATAAACCAGCTGCTTATAACCACTACTTTAATATGCATTATATGGAAGTAAGAGAAAAAGAAAATGACTAGGGCTGTCGCGATTCGTCGATTCTATTAGACTATTCGATTTTTTTAAATTCTCGACTTCATTTTGCCTGCGTCGACTAACCAGCAAAATACCGGAAGTTGCGCATTTCACGGACGAGAATCCATAAAACACATTATTAGACTGTTTCCCAAGGCCTCATGATATATTAAACCTGTTTAAAAATAATTAAGCATAACTGTGAATTCACAAAC